TTGTTCGCCTTGCAAACAGGATCACGATGAGATCAGGAAAAATCTTTTCCTATTCAAGTTTAAACCAACAACAGGGATGTTTGGTCGCGGGTTTGGAAATGCTCATCCTTGGAGCGTGATTAACGTCAGCACACAGAATCTGCTTTTCATACATTTTAGAGAACATATTACAGACGGTGTGATGACGTGAAGGCGTGCACACTATCGTCAGAGTCTCTCTGATTGGAAAGTTAACAGCTGAATGAAGCTGCAGTCAGTCGGGAAAATTTCAAGAAAGTTTCTTGAAAAGCTAAAAAACCCGAGGCTGAGGAGTTTCCTCTGCAGCAGGGGCAAAGTTCAGAGTTCAAACACTAAAGGTTGGCTGAGAGGAGACCTTCATGATGAAACTTGAACAGAAACATAGAGTGGACTTTGGACCTGCAGAGAGCTGGACTGATACATAGGAGGAGTCCAGATGTGAGATTTTAAGAACTGTGTTTGTATGAGGAGCAGAAGATCGATGGATTCATCTGCAGGCGTGTGATGACAGGGAGGTGCCCAAAGCTGCAGTTCCTCTGACGTCCACTCGAGGCAGACTTCAAAATCCCACAGAGTCGTGTTAAAATGTTCACCTGTACAGCAGAAACACGTCCTGAAGCAAAAACACCTCCCGCCTCTGAAGTTTCCTCCTTTGTCACAACTGCACGACTCACCTTTTTCAATTAGATCAAGCTTAAAGTTAACGTTGGGGGTGTGGCTGCTTTGATTGACAGGTAGATGCTGCTAGGCCCCGCCTCCACGTCAGTAACTCAGATCTGCAGTTTTTGGTGTTTGTGTTGCTTCATTTTCCCCATATTTACTAACTTTTCTTGGCAGCCTTCTGTAAACCTCCGTGCTCTTCTGTCCTTCACATTTGTCCTGCAGCTCATCCAAACCTCCATCTGCTTCTTCTCCATCACACTCCGGGGGGTCCCGTCCTACCGCCCACTGCTGCTGGGGCTCTGCCCTGCGATGTAGCTTCTAATATTTTATAACTCTGTGCTTCAATAAATGATGTTCAGCTCTCTCAGAGTCTCTCTCCTTATTAAACTGCAGTCACTGAAGCCGAACCATCGACCGATTCTGGAGCAGTTTTAATGCAAACATCCAAAAAGTCTGTGCTTCACTTTTGGCGAGTTAAAATTCTGGTATTGTGTTCGTCTTTCACTTCACACTAATTAGCAGATGACTGTGTGAGTGTGCAGCTCACTATAACTCAACGATAACTCAGCTCTGAAACATGGAGGTGGTGAAATGCTAAGGTCCCAGCTGCTTTGAGCTATTTGGTTACATTTGTAACTTTGTAACATATTGTAATATTAAGTTTACTTAGTTACTGTTCCTGCTGTCTTGGAGCAACTGTAACCACATAATTTCCTCTGGGATTATTCTAATTCTGCCACGCCCATCTTTTATTTACAGTCTATGTTTCCATGGTGACACACGGAGCTGTGATGGTGCGGGAGGGCTTCAGGCAACAATGAACCCACAGCAGCACGTGAGGTTTGAGGGTCATGTGACTGACGAACTGCTGAAAACCTGACGTGAACTCGTGAGTTCAGCCAACAAGTGTCAGTTTTCCTTCTTCAGCATCATCGTAAAGAGGAGAAAGTCTTCAGTCAGCAGGTGAACTCATGCTTTTCATCTGCGCTTCTGTCTCCAAATTTACTCATCATTTCATTTTAATTTGAACAGAAATAAACACAAAAGCAACAACGACCTGATTTGCAGCGTTCATTCCTGAGTGTGTGTGTGTGTGTGTGTGTGTCAAACATCAGCCTCCACAGGCCGACACTCAGACACGTGCAGCTGGGTGACAAACGCTCATTTCACTGCACGCTAATGACTCGCTGACAAATTGCACAGGATGCTCCGGCCTTCTGATTGTTGCTAGGCAAAAATCAGAGGAGGGGACGGGAGCATCGGGGGCGCAGCTGTTATTTGCAGTGTGGTGTTACTGCCATCTAGTGGCTGTGCTGGGAAAGGTGAAGAAACACACTGAGCACCTCACAGCTGATATTAGGAGCCACAACCATCACGTGCTGCACCGGGCACGTCAACAGCAGGCGCCGGGTTTGGACTCACTGCTGGTAACAGGTCGGAACATTTCTGTAACTTTTCTCACTCATTTGTTGGACAAAGTTTACGTCACCGTCACATTATTTACCCCATTCCTGTCCCAGTTTCAGTCCTGAAACCCCAGAAAGGCTGTGAATGAACAGATGACACAAACAAAACCTGAGATATGCTGAATTCATGCTGCCTACGTTTACATAAAAACACCGGCGGCGTCAGCCTCCATGTGGAGACACGTGTGGTATCAAACTCCTGCATCACATTGTTCTCAACTTATCATAGTCACAAGATTTTCAGAAACCTTGACCACTGATTTTAACCTTGGGGTCAAACTTGTCAGAGATTTTTAGTAGATACACCCACAGTAGATGCTCCTATGTCACCTCGTTCTCTTGTTATTACATTCACACACTTGCATGTCCATGCCGCCCGTCAGGTCATGATAATCGGCCGTTTACAGCTGAGGGATAAAAATCCAAGAAAATATACGAAGGGTGTCCCAGCAGGAGGGTCCTGGGTTTGAATCCAGCCCAGATCCTTTCTGTGGGAGTGTGTGGGTGTTCTCCAGCCTCCTCCCACAGTCAAACACATGCAGTGAGTGTGAACGTTGCCTCTGTGTGTCCCGTCTTCCTCCCTGACCTATGATAGCTGCGTAAGAAAGTGGATGTTTGTTGTTTTTCTACAGTCTCAACTTTATCTACTACTATTATTTATGCAAATTGCACTATATTCAATTAGTGAATGTGCATTTCACATATTTTAATCCATTGTCACATGAAATTGTCTTAAACTACGTTAACGACTGGAAACTGTTGACATTTGAATCCGTGTTTATTTTCCTCGCGATGTAATTATGGAATTTCATAACGAGCTCCTGGTTTACGCCGAGTGCAGCAGACGGATAAACGCTGAACGCTTGGCCTTAATTTGACTTTAACCTCTGCAGCTTAAAACCCATCAAAGCTTTCACACAGGAGGCTGCGTTACCATGGTTACTATCTGCAGCATGGCTTCCCGTGCCACACACACACACACACACACACACCTTTCTCCGGGTTGAAATTGAATCAGTGCCGCTGGTGTGTCCAGAAATGACAAAGGAAGGCTGTGGTGCGATTAGAGTCGCTTTGTGAG